CTGGGTTGGGAAGATCCCCTGGAGAAGGGAAAGGCTACCCACTCCAGTATTCTGGCCTAGAGAATTCCACGGACTAGTCTACGGCCATACCACCCTGAACGCGCCCGATCTCGTCTGATCTCGGAAGCTAAGCAGGGTCAGGCCTGGTTAGTACTTGGATGGGAGAATTCCATGGACTGTATAGCCCATGGTGTCGCAAAGAGTCGGACACCACTGAGCAACTTTCATATTCACTTTCAAGCATGATTCCAAAGCAGGACCTGAGCTTGGAAGTGAGGGCTAGGGACACAGTGGGGAGGATGTGCAACCGGTTGACTACGGGCAAAGAGCATCCCGGTGGGGACCTCACACCCAGTGTCAGCCCCCCAGCAAGCACACAGGGGGATGCACACACACTCTGGGACACCAGGCACAGAGCCTTCGCCCCACCCTGCCGGCCCACACAGAAGCCCCAGGACTGCAGCCCCCGTGCTCTCCAGCTCAGCCGCAGCACCCACAGGGTCCCCAGTCCTAGCATCTCTTTACCAACCCTCACCACCGCCTCCCATGTCAGCCCCTCGAGCAAGGAGGCTTCTGACTCACTTTCTTCCTGGACACCAGAACCCAGCCCCTCCGCCCCCGGCCTCATCTGTCCGGTCGCCTTCAGAGCCTGCTCCCATACCCCAGCCTAAGGCAGGTTCTTTAGCACCTGAGCCATCAGAGAAGCCCACAGAAAATGATCACTCAATAAATATTTGCTCAGCACTCTCTGTGGGCCAAGCCCGCTGCCTTTCCACCTAACGCCTTGAAGGTACATGGTCACCTCCACCAATCCCCACCACCTCCCCCGTGATTCCCCTCGATTCCTAGCACTCCTGCACTCGCTCTACCACAGGACAGTTGCCCACCCACCCCTGCCCACCAACCAGCCTACCAGCCTTGGAAGGGTGCCTGGTGCCATGGGAAGGGCACAGCTGTGTCCAGGCAGAAGTCAGTCCTGCCTGCCACCAAGCAGCTGCACCGTCTCACGCAGGTGACTCTGCCTCTGAGTCTCCGTCTGCTGGAGAGGTCCAGAAGTAGTTCTCACCTTCCAGACCATGGTGAGCAAGGAGACAGTTTACGGGGGTACTGAGGCCAGTGCCCAGCACAGAGCAGCACGTGGCAGCCATTCAGTGGCCGCTGTTGTGCACTCAGGCCCAGCCCTGACATCCACCCACTGGGTGGCCTTAGAGGGCTCGTCAAATCAGTTTTCTCACTCATGTAGTGGGGTAATGGTATTCCTAGTCCCGCCTGTCTCTAGGGCTGCTCGGAGGCTGGTAATCCCAGCTGCTCCTTACTGGGCCCTTGGCTATGTGCAGGCACTGTCCTGCTGACGTGTTTGGCTCATAGACCCTCCCACAGCCATCTGGAATTCCTGTTATAAATGGAGAAGCTGAAGCATGGCAACGTTGAGTAACATCCCGACGACAAGCAGGTGTAGAGTGGATTTGTACTCAGGCTCAGCCACGCAGATCCTGCCTCTGAGTGGTGAAGGGAAAGGGGCTTTGTGTCTGGGGGGCAGCAGGGCTGTGTGCCGGAGCCTCAAGATACCCTCACCCAGAGCACTCCTTCCAATGGCAGCCAAGGGATTAAGTCAGCCCAGAAGAGGCCTCAGGTACCTCCAGGCGCCAGCCAGCCCCCAGCTCCTACCTCAGGCATCAGCCATTTGCCTCCCCACCAGATGTAGCCCAGACCCTGGGTACCATTCACACCAGTCTGTTACACTGCACCTCCCTCACTGGGCCCTATTTCCTGGTCTGTGAAATGATGTTGATTATCTCTTACATATTGGGTGGTTGTGAAACACTGGCCATCCGTTGTCCACCACAGTACCACTTGCTCCGGGGGTGGTAGATGCCCCAGATGCTGGGAGATCCAGGCACAGTGGGGACTTGAATGCCTTTCCCAGGCAGAACCAGACCTCAGAAGACAAAGGGTTGCACAGGGTCTCTAAACAGCTCTCCAGAGCACCTGATGCTTGATTGTGTGACGGAGGCTGTGGAATGATTTTGCCAGCCCCTTGAGGTTCCCTGGTGGCTTCCCTGGTGGCTCAGAGGATAAAGCATCTGACTGCAATGAGGGAGACCCAGGTTCGATCCCTGGGTTGGGAAGATCCCCTGGAGAAGGAAATGGCAACCCACTCCAGTATTCTTGCCTGGAGAATCCCATGGACAGAGGAGCCTGGCGGGCTACAGTCCACAGGGTCGCAAAGAGCCGGACATGACTGAGCCACTTCACTTTCACTTTCACTCTGAGGTTCCCTGAGGCCCACAAGGCTCAGGGACAATTGAGGGAACCTGGAGTGCCCCAAACTGAAAAAGGGCCAGACCCACGGAGGCTTGAGGATGGGATCAAAGGAGCAGGTGGTGGGAAGGCAGAAGACTGGGGAAGATGAGCCAAAGGTCCAGTGCTAACCTAGGACCATGGAGGGCACACAGGCCCAGTGCCAGGGGCCAGGGGCTCTGCAGGACCCACAGCAATGTTTGTAGCCAGGTGGGCAAAAAGGAGCAAAACACCAAAAAGCAGAAGAAAATAAAGACAAAATCAAAATGAATAAAATTTAATTAAATATCTACACAACAAGACATTGTCAAGTAATAAACTGAACCCAACTCAAGTAGCTATATATGAATGACCTTTAATGAGGAATGCAGGCAAAATTTCATATGAGTGATAGGATCAGGGATTCAGCATCTAAAATTCAAAGTGCCAGGGGTCTGCCTAGGGTCTTCAAATGTGCCACCCCAAAACTTACATGCCTCCCTGAGGAAAGGAGGGTCCCAAGATTGATTTCAGATTACTTTTCTATTGGGTGGGTTAATGAGAAAGCAAAAGGGAAATTCAGGTCATTACAGAAAAATGAAGTGATGTTCCTCGCACATGTTCATTTGTAAATGGAGACCCTGAGTCACTGCAGACCTCGCTGTGCAATGCCGCCCTCAGCCTCTTCATCCCTGGGGGGCTGGTGGGAGTCACCCCACCCTCAAAGTCCCTGCACATTTCAGCAGTTAGTTTACCAGCCTCCCATTCTTTCACACCTCTGTAGCTAAGATCTGCCAACCCCTCTGGAGTTAATCAAGGTGACTTTAGGGAGTGAGGCCAGAGAGCTGGGTTCAAGTCTAACCCCACCCCTGACCCACTGTGTGATCCTAGCCAGGTCGCATCCTCCCTCGGGCCAAGCCTCAGTCTTTGTCTGTGAAATGGCATAACTGCCTACCAGGGCTGCCATGTGGACCAAGGAGGACGCAACTGTGTGAGACACTGCTTTTTAAACAGACTAGACTGCATTGGGGTTTGACTAACCAAACAAAACCAAAGGAAAAAAGCTTTGCCAAAGCCCGGAGCGGGGTTTCACAATCAGCCCTTCTGAGCTATATCTGGGGGAGGTGAATTTTTATGCTTCCTCATGGTCTTTTTGCCAAGGCCTCACCATCTCCTCTTGCCCCAAGCAGCAGAGAGAGGGATCAGAGCCGCAGTGGTGGGGAAGCAGGTTGGGGTGGGTTGGGGTGGGTGAGGGAGCCAAGCCGGCTTGGCTCCTGGAGGCCTGAGTCAGCAGGCAGGCAGGCAGGGCGGGCCCAGTCCTTGCAGGCTTGGGGAGGAGATGGTGCAGGAATGTTCCTCCCGCCCAGGCCTGGGACTTGCCCACCACATCCTGGCTCTTAGATGCGAGATGCCTGGAGCTTTGTTGAGTGGGTTCAGCCAGGGGCCTTCAGAGGCAGCCTGGCCCCAGGGACCGCCCAGGAGTGGCCAAGGCCAGGCCACAGAGCCTACTGGGAACTGGTCTCTGACCCCAGAGCATACCCCATCCCTGCTGGGTGATATAGCCAGGTTTCCCATCTGTGCAACGAGGAATTGAACTTGATGGTGTCAGATAATGAAGGATCCAGACTGGTTCCCCCAGGAGGTGATGCAGGCCGAGTCTATGAGCATCTATGTGTATGACACTTTCGCTATGTGCATGTGTGACTTTGTGGCCATGCATGTCTTGAGTGTGTGTACCACTGGGTGAGTCCTGTGTGCACAGGACTATGGTGGGGCTAGAGTGACAAAGTGGCTGAGACAGACAACATGCATGTAGGTGTGGGCAAGTGTGGACGTGGCTGGGAAGGTGTGACTGTGTGGCACTGTGGCTGGGAGTGCAGGTGTGTCAGCATGTGACCATGCATATATGTGTGTGTGTGTGTGGAGCCAGGTGTGACCTGTGTGCCCGTGGGCAGGTTGGGTGACTCTATCTGCTTTGGGTTGGGCAACTGTGTCTGTGACTAGACCTGGCTCTGCTACAGCTGTGGCCCAGCAGTGGCCCCGTGGTCCATGGCCCTCCTGTGCCCAGGAGGCAATAGGATGCGGGATCACAGAGCCATCCCCATTCCCCAACCGCCATATGAGGCCACAAAGCAGACTCCTTCCCCGGGCTGGGCCAAGACTGGGGCTCGGGGTCCCCTGCCCCCCACCTCCAGGTCCTGGTAGCTGCCCAGGGCAGAAAGAGAGGCCTTGTTTTCCACCCTCCTCCCAAGGGAGGAAACTGGAGGCAGCTGGGCCCAGCTCAGTCTGGAACATCTGCCTGGCGTGTGACTGAAGCCGGCCAGCAGGCCCAGCCACCACCAGACTGGTCCCCATGCATGCTGGTCCCCCAGCCCTTGCTGAAAGAGGCTGGCTAGCCCAGATCAATCTCAAATTCCCCAGCACCCCGACCCAAACTGAGAGAAGGGCTGTGACATCCCCACTTCCACTACACAGATGTCCGTCCCAGCCTAGAGACCTCAGAGGCTTGGCCTGTCCTTCCCTTCCCTTACCTCACATCTCGATACTTTTCCTAGGTGCAGCCCCTCCTGAGAAACGTGTCAGACCAGATCCCCTCACCCTGAGGACAGAAGGTGTGGGAGGTGGTCCCTCCTCTCGAGAGACACAAGAGGTGACGCTATTACCAGGGCAGGAAGCATGAACAGGGGACTCTCCAGGCACTGGTGTTAAGAGCATTCCCATCACTCAACACAGATGAGCCCTGGGAAGACCACCCCCTCACCCCCACCTCTCCTCACTGCAGAAGGCTGCCTAGAGGTTGAAGCTGAGAAGAGGTTAAGGGTGGGAAGGTCCTCGGATGGTTTGGAAAATGGAAGAAGGAGGGCAGGGAGGAGAGGGGAAAATTCCACAGAAAGTCCCAAATCTGACCTAATTTTGACCCAGGGCCAGGGGCCCATTCCAGAAGTTCCTCTGAGGACGCTCTGCTGGATCTGGGAGCCTTTACTGCCTCTACCCTGCTGTACCTGCTGCCCCTTATTCCATCTCACTGCCGTGAGCTCCCGCAGCCCCCAGGCCCAGCCAAAGCCTCCCCTGATGCCTGGACCCCAGCAGCCCTCCCTCCACCCAGTCCCCACTGCCCCCAAGAGGACCTTGACCTCCCAGCCCTCCTCTTTCCCGTGTGCAAACAGATTCTTGTCCATCCTGCCTAGGACACGCCCAAGGGCACAGCTGGGGGGTCCACCTCAGTTTCCAACCAGGAAGCCACTCAGGGCTGGGCACCCTGGACTGCACGGCCCCTGGGAAGGACACAGGGTCTGAGTCCCACCCCCTCTCCTGGATTGGGCTTTCCTGGGGGCAAGGCTGGGATATGGCCTCCTGGGGAGATGAAGCCCCTGTCGACTAGAGTGTCCCTTCCTCATGTGACCCTCAGTCCTGGATCACAGAGCAGCACAGCCAAACCCCTGGCAGGACTCCACCTATTTGAGAAAAGAGGAGAGTGAGGTCTAGGAAGGGTCTGCGTTGAGCTGGGGTCCATGTCCACCCAGAGGTCTCCAGCTAGCCCCAACCACCTGCACTGCCCTCTCCCCACCAACTTTTGAGGTTCTGGGGTGAATGCTGTGCCCATCACCACCTCAGAATCTGGTCCAGCTGCTCCCAGGGACAACTAGAGCTCCATCCTTCCCTCCACCCTCATCCCCCCCGGGATCCAAATAAGGAGTCATACTTTTGTTATCGTAATTGGAAAAGGTTTATCAAGAAAACAAGAAAGAATGAAGATTGAAGCAGCAGCAGCCAGAAATAGCCATGACCTCCCGGGAGGGCCAGCAGTGGCGTCTGTCAGTTTCTGACCATACCCCGGCCTGGGGGTGTGGGAAGAGCTCCCTTGAGGATGTAAACATGAGTGGGAGACAGCACAATCCCACCAGGACCTGGATGGCATCACAGTGAGCCTGGTGATGGGCAGGTGGGCCCAGGATCCCTGGGGTGATGGGTAAGCTGGCCCCTGGGAGCTGGAGATCCAAGCCTGCCCGGAGTGTGAGAGCTACAGCTGGTGAACTCAAATACCCAGTAACTTGTGGGTGTGCCCTCCAGGCAGGTACCACCAAAATCCTGCGGTCTGTGGCTTGTCACAGCACCTTGAGCCCAGGGCAAAGATGCTGCGTGGTCCCTAGCCAGGAAGTGAGGGGGCTCAGCTGGTGAAGGGGGAGTCAGGAGGGAGCTGGCCTGCAGCCCCTCCTGCGGGGTGGCGGGGAGCAGGGCAGGGACAGGGGCATGGGAGCCAGGCAGATCCCCGCCCTCTGTCACACAATGGGACACACCAAGGGGGCACCAAACTTGCTGGGAAAAGATAAAGGAGAGGAGAAGAGGTGTTTCTATGCCTCTACAGCTTTGTCCAGGCTGTTCTCTGAATGCCTTCCCCGTCCACTGTCCCCACTTACTGTCTGGCAGGTTCTTGTCATCCTTCAAGACACACTGTTCCCACGTCACCTGCTCCATGGAGTCATCCCTGACCGGCAGAACGGTGGTCCCTTCCACGAGCTTCCAGAAGCCCCTTCCTTACCATCGATCATACTGTATTGCCCCCGCCTGCTTCTGTGTCTGACCCCCCACTTCAACTGGGGACAAGAGCAGGCGTGTCGCAGCCCTGGATGCCCAGTGTCTGACCTGGGGCCGCAGCAGGCCCACGTGTCTACCGAACAAATGAGGGGGAAGTGGCCAGGTGGGCATGCGCTAAAGGCTCCAGGGGAAGCTAAGACCCCAGCCTGGCCTCAAGTGACTGACCAGCAGCCCAGGCCTGGGCCTGGAGGGCTCCTGGCCCTGTTCTCATCCCCGCTGTGCCCCCAACTCTAAGGGGTGGGGGACTTTCCCAGGAATATTCATGACTCCTCCAAAGGCCACCCCCAACTCCCCGCCCTCCAGGCACTGCTGGCATGGGAAGGCCCCGGGGGCGGGGCCACGCGGTCAGAGGCTGTCATACATGCGCAGCGTCTTCTCCAGCTGCTGGCCGACCCGCTGGTAGAAAAGGATCTGCTGGCGCAGGTAGTTCTGCATCATGTGCTTGAAGTCGAGCTCGCGGCGCTGGTGGAAGTGGTTCATCTCGGCCTGCAGGGCAAAGCCCACCACGCGGCAGCGCCGGCGGATGCCGTCAGCCTCCTCCTGCGCCATGCGGCCCTCGTCACTCATGCGCTGGCTCTCCTTCACCTTGGCGAAGGCGCCTGGCACGGGCAGAGCGCAGGACAAGGGCGGTTAGGGCTCCGGTCGCTCCCATTCGCTCCCTAACCCTGCCCTGAGACCCTTCGAGGGCAGACAGCACCCTCACCGGCTCAACTCGGACCCCCCTCCTGGACTCCAGACCCATGGTGCAGCCACTTGATGTCTCCACCAGGATGTCCCCCGAACCCTCACCTTCAGCATGTCCTAAACCAGATGTACCCTCTTCCCTCCAAACCTGAGGCACCGCCAGCAGCGCACACCTGACCAGTCACAACCCTGCGAGCTGTACTGACTTCTGCGACCAGGCTGTCCCCATCCACCAGAGGCCTCATCACCCCTCACGCTGGTTCCCCATTCAGCTCAGATAGCACCTTCTCCAGGAAGCCTTCTGGGCGGTCCCAGTGCATCAGTGCATCTCCACGCTCTCAGGTGTCCTGGGCTTCCCTCTACCACAGCTCTTCCCTCTCTGTGGTTTTTCTGACTGCATCTCTCCAGGTATGAGCTCAATGTCTCTAGCACCTAGAACAAAGCCTAGCCCACGCAGGTTCTGACACGTGTCTGCTAAACTGATCTCACTGGACTGCTACAACAGGCCCCCCACGGGTCTCCCCACTTCAGTCCCAACCTCTGAGAGGTTCTCTATGGCACCTGACGAGCAGCCAAGCTGGCAGCCATAGCTCCAGGTCTCCTCTGGCTTCCTTCTGGCCTGCAGAGCAAGGTCCCCCGTTCTCCTGGCCTGGGAAGCCCTCTGGGAGTTGACCCCTGCACCTGTTCCGCACTGACCCCATATTCATCAAACTCACCCTTTCTCTCCTACCTCCCTATCTCTGCCTCCTGGATCCTTATGTATAATTCAAGGCTCTGATCAGGTGCCACTCCCACATGGAGCATCCTTCTCCCTGCCCCCATCACACTGCTGATTCTAAAACAGAGGCTGAAAGGCCACCTGGAGTTTTCCTTTGTGTGTGTCTTACATATAAGCTCTGCTCCCTCCTCACCCCAGTCCCCAGGGGACTAGAGGAGGCCAATGTCATAACCAGGTGACAGATGGTGAGTCAGGGGATGAACCTGCAGAAGGGACCCAATTTGGAAGAACCTGAGTGAATCAACAAGCAGCTGGTGAAACGATTTCAGTTCTGAATTAATGGGAACTTGGCTGATGCTGAGCTGAAGCCAGTGGGCAGTTGCTGAGCCGGGGAGGCAGTCTGCCTGTGCCTAGCAAGGCACTCCTCTCAGGGCTATAGGGAATCCACCGTGTGAAGGAGAGTATGGAGGTAGGCAGGCTTGGCACAGAGGACAGCATGCTCCTGGAGCGCTTCAAAAGCACCCACTGCACATGAGCGACAGGCTTGTTTTACATGCTTCCCACCTCCTCCTTAACGGGGCCTCTCAGGGACCTTTGAAACACAGTCTGTTTACTCTCAAGTTGTTCAATGCATTCAGGACACATTTACTGAGCATTTATTATGTGCTGGAAATAACTCTGCCTTTAGAAGGAGCAGTACCCACGGAAGGCGGCAAGTGTGTGGCTAATCAGCAAATAGCGCCATTTCGGGCAGCCCGACTCACATTGGCAACACTTCCAGGACTGCTCACACAGCACCCAAAAGAACTGCAGTGTCCAGCTCCCAGCCCACTCAGTCCTTGCAGCACCTTCCTTGAACCACCTCTTCTTGCCTCTTGTTTCATCCTTATTGATTCATTCAGATTCTTCCAAATTGGGTCCCTTCCCCAGGTTGATCGCCCAGACCTGGGCAGAAGGAGAGGGATTGACCATGGGACCAAGATGAGACTCCCATGAGAGGCCTCAGAGCTGGAGCGGCCTTAGAGGACAGCTGTCCAGCCCCCACCCCCACGGCCACCTTCACCTCCACCACCATGCCAGTATTCTTCAGAAGAAACTCAGGCCCTGGTGGGAAAGGACTTGTCCAGGGGCTCCCAGCCTCCTTCCTGCCCACAAAGTGCGGGATATCTGGCCCCGAGGGAGCCTTGCAGAGTGGGGAGTGGATACCACTTCTAGTGCAGGGAGCCCAGGCCAGGTCCTCCAGGCACATACGTGAGACATCCAGACAATGGACTCGGGAATTTGAGAAGGTCCCAAGGGGTAGAAAGAACCAGAAGAAGAAAGGTAGAAAATAGCTGGACAAAGAAACTAGAGTTAGGCTTCAGCAAAGGAAACATACCAGCCTGGATTCCACCTTCCTGAGAAAGTCTGGGTGTGGTGGTGGTGGACCTGCATTTGAGAAGCTATTTAAGGCCTTAAACAGCCCATGGCCTTGGGCTTCCCTGGTAGCTCAAATGGTAAAGAATGCACCTGCAACTCGGGAGACCTAGGTTTGATCCCTGGGTTGGGAAGATGCCCTGGAGAAGGGAATGGTTAGCCACTCCAGTATTCTTGCCTGGAGAATCCCATGGACAGGAGTCTGGTGGGTTACAAAGTCCATGGGGTCACAAAGTGTCAGACATAACTGAGCGACTAAGCACAAGCCCATGGATCTAGAGGAAGGAAACTGAGGCCCAGATAATAGGAATGAATCTATTGCAATTGCTAGGTATCCACAGACAGGCAGGGAGCCAGGGATGGGGGGCAAAGGCTATGGGGGCCAGAGGAGGTCCCACCCTGCTCTCTGTCACCCTCCACCCTGTGACTCAGATGTGGGACTGGTACCAGCTAACACTAACGCACCCCAGAGACAAACTGGGAGTCAGGGCTTGGGCCAGTCCCCCCTCACCCCACCACATTCCACCTAGGACTCACCCTGAGAGCTGAGGATCCTAGGCACCTCCTGCCCTGGCAGTTGTCCTGTAGACCGGATCCCAGAAACAGGGACGGGAAGGTTGGAGTTTCAGATCCCCAGGGTCTCAGGCATGTTCCCTAAAGTCCCACCTGAATCCATCTTGTCCCTACCCTAGGTTGAGGGCAGGAGGTCTGGGTCCTAATCCACTGTGTCACCTCCAACAAGGACTGCAGGTCTCCCCACTGTCACACGGGACAGGTTGGACTACATATGATGCTGCTGACAGCTGCTTAGGGCAATATAGCACTTTAGAGTTTCCACATCAGTAAAATGGGATTATGATGGTACTCGCCTTCTAGTTAAGAGCAGAGGTTCAATTAAAGCACTTGGGATGGAGCCTGACAAGATAAGAGCTCCAGATGCTATGTGTAGCTAGGTGCAAACTGCTTTTCAGTCACACCACCCAGCTGGTGGTGGCTTAGGGCCATATGATTCTTTGTTCATGGGAGCCTAGGAGGAGAGGCAGAAGGAGAGTTAGGTGATGGCCCAGAGCACAGAGACTAAACCCACCTATTCCCCCAGTGTAGAACTTGGTCCTGCAAGGGCCACTTTGCCTTGGCCAACCTGTGAGCACCATGACCCCTCCATGCATGCTGTGTGGTCCAGGGCCTGCCTCTAGTCCACAGAGGATGCCAGCTGAGTTGGTGAGAGAGTACCCAACTCCTTCCCTGGTCCTTCCCCTTCTGGCTGGTCTTCCCCAGGCACCACCCCTCAGGGACCTCCCTGTCCCATCTGTCTGGCACAGCGGCAACAGCCTGGCTGTATAGTTAGAGACACTGGGGTTCCAATCCCTGCTCTGATGATCAGCCCCCCTCACTGCCCCTCATCTAGAACAGAGGGACCCACACTGACCTCCGTGGTTTGTGACGAGTCTTAGGACAGAGTCCTGCCCTGGCTGGCTCTCAGGCAGGGGCCCTGAACAGTCACTGTTTCCCCTTGCTGTCCCAGGTTAACTATTATCAAGGCTCTCTTTTCCCCTCACAAGATTGCCCTGGTTTGGATGATAAATCACATGGTTACCCTTCTCCCTTTAGGAGAAACCCCTGAACTGAGCTCCAGGGACCAAGCTGGTGGGCAGACCAGGCTGGTGGGCTTCAACTCTGCACCAAATGGGTTCCATGATCCATTTTCCTAAGCTTTCTCAGGGGAGGAAATTCAATCAGGGTCACCTCAAAGACAACATTTGTCCAAATTCTGGTCTCCTAAACCCTACCAGGCCTCCTGTCTCCTTCCTTGCAAAGCCTCTCCCGCATGCTCACCATGTTTTAGAGTGTATGAACAGGCTGACAGCATCCTGGGCACCCAGGCCCCAACTTTCCTGCTCCTCCCTCTGTGAAAGGTCTCTATCCACAGGGCCACCATGGGACCTCTTCTCCCCGCAGCAGGCTGTAGTTCTCCAAAGCCTGCCCGATTCTGTCTCAGCCAGATTCAAGCCCCACTCCCTAACCACTGTAGTACCTGCCCTACACAGGGCTGGGAGTGGTGGTACAGAGCTTAGAAAGTGGAAGAGTAAGCCCCAAAGCCCTTGGCCGAATGAGGAGGCATCCTCTGGATAAGGGAAGGTGGGTGCGGCCTCTGTCTGAGGTTGAATACATCACCCCCAGAGGACCACTGGCCCCTCATCTTAGCCTCCAGTGGAAACTCAGAAGTGGCCTCTCTCAGCTCTGTCCCCCCGATCCAGGGTTAGAAAAGCCAGACTGCCTTTACTCCCTCCTGCTCTAATGGGAGCCTGGGAGCCCTGAGTACAGGGTTGCCTTCCCGCCCCCAGTTCTGCCCTGGGTGGAGGGTCCCCAGACACGAATGGGAGCAGCTGTTTCATCACTGTGCCCCTGCTCACCTTTCTCTTGCTGCCCACACAGGAACACGCCACCCAAGGAGCTGGTTGAACCAGCTTTCCCAGGCCCTAGTGCAGCAGTGAGCGTGGCTCTACTTCCGCACAAGGCGACACCTGCCCCAGTGGGCCAGCCGGCCCCAGCCACCACCCCTGCCCTGTCCCTGCCCAGAACTCAGAGCCGAAACTAAGGCATCACTCTGTCCTTGACCAGACCCTCCCCAGGACTCTCCCCCACCCCACTCCCTTGAAGGCCTGAGAGCTCACAGTGTCCACTCTGTGTTACAGATTGAGGAACTAATGCCCAGAGAGGGGAAGGCACTGCCCAGGGACACACAGCAAATTGGGGGCAGAGCCAAGACCAGAACTCAGGTCATGTCTCCTGAAGCTGAAAGAAGGGAAGGAGGAAGAAAGGAATGTGGAGAAGAAAAAAAAAAAGCAGAGAGGAGAAGGAGGAAGAGACAGACAGTAAGGGGAGAAAAGAGTCTGGAAGCTGGAGAAGGTTTAGAAGTTAACCTCCTAAAGATGGTTGGATGGCATCACTGACTCAATGGACATGAGTCTGAGCAAACTCTGGGAGACAGCGCAAGCCCAGCGTGCTGCAGTCCACAGGGTCGCAAAGAATCGGACACAACTTGGTGACTGAACAACAACAACAAAAGGAGAACAAGGCTGGTTTGCTACCAGTGACCAAGGTAGGGCGGTGATGTTTGCTGTTCCCCAGCCTCAGTGCAGAGCCGGCTTCCTGACCCCGCCCAGAGGAAAACTCTCCACCAAGCCAGGCCTGACCTCAGGGCTCAGGGGCCTGGGAGCCAGCCCCACGCCCTGCAGACGTTCTTCCTGAGTTACCAAGCAGCCCTGGGGAGGACCACACCTCCCTCCTGCCCTGCCTGTAGTCCGCAAGACTCAGCCACCTGCCGGGTCAGCTCCTGACTCAGGGGCTCAGGCAAGAAGAGAAGCCAGGCTCAGGAAGAGGGAATTGGATGGACCACGTGGGCAGTGCCCTGGACCCCCGGTTTCTCCTTCAGCCCACTCCGGGTGCCCCTCGGTGACCCGGCTATGAGTCACTTCCCTGGCAGTTCCTTGACAGCCCCACAGTAACAGGGACCCATCCTGTCCCTCCCCTAGGGAGGAGACCGTGAGAACTGAACACACGGCTGAGCTTGGGAGGTAGCCAAAAAGCATGTGTCCTTGGGGAGGTGCAAAAGGAAGGGACAGTCCCAGCGAGGCCACGGACTCCTTGTGCAAGCCACCCTTCTGTGGACACAGCTCCTTCGTCTGCAAAATGGGGACAGCCACCCCTCCTGAACACAGATAGGGAGGAAGCTCACAGATAGGATGTGCAGCCATGAGAACAGTCTCTGAAGTTGCAAAGGCAGGGAGGTGAGCTGGTGACAAGCGGGAAGATAGGCTACGCTCTGTGCTCTCGTTATCTGGGTCTGTGTCCATGTCCCCCATAAACCTGTGGGCTCCTCAAGGGCAAGGCCTGGGCCCTGGTCAGCTCGGTGTTCCCAGAACCCAACCTAATAACTTGGAGGACTCGATATATAGTGAGTAAATGAGACTGAAACAGAGAAAATGAATGAATGAATGAATGAATGAATGAGTGAGTGAATGAATGAACAGACAAGAAGGTAAACAGTGAACTCCATGAGGACAGGAACAAGACCTGCCCATAAATATCCTGTACCTAGAATAGCACCTGTCATCTGCTAGGTGCTCAACACCCTTGCTGAATGAACGAATGAGACAGAGACTGAAAGACTAGCTGAGCCGCTCTGCCCCATCTAGGCCATCTTCACAGCCCCTGTGCCCTGCAGAGCGCAGACGCTGTCCGGGTCTCCAGCCCACACTGGCCCTTACCTTTCTGCAGGTGGATGATGTCAGGGAAGTTGGAGAGCAGGCCCTGGTAGAGAGACAGTGTATCGAGCATCCGGAAGAGGTCATTCTTGGGCTGCTCGGCGAACATCTCACCAACCATTTCATAGGTTCGGCCCGTGTGAGAAATGGCGCTGTTGAGGGCCTCAGAGCTGAAGGGGGGGTCCATCTGGAAGGCGTGGCTGATGGCCTGGAAGGCATTGCCCAGCTTCTGGAATTCCTTGCGGAAGCCCCCCACATGCTTGCGCACCAGCTCTGAGGCCACTGTGCTGAGCTGCAGGACGCTGTCGTCCATCTTCTTGCTGAAAGCTTTGAAGGTGTCTACACGGTCCTCCACGTCCTGCAGGTCCTGGTGCTCCGTGGGGATCTGAAAGGTGAGCAGGAAGCTGGCGCCCACCATCTCGTCCTTCTCAGCCCGGCGTTTGCCCATCTTCCACTGCTTGTCATCCAGGCAGCTGAGGAAATGCTGGAAACCCTCATACTGGGACAGCACAGGGTGGCTGGTCATGTGGTCCATCCAGAGGATAAGCCGCCGCTTCCGCTTCTCAATGAAGTCCTCCTCAAAGCGACCTGTGGCCTGCTTCTCCGGGAGGTGAGGCACTGAAATGACAGTGAATTTGTGCAACAGGCGGTTGTAGAGCCAGTCGAAGTGTTTGTAGCGCCGGTAGACAGGTGAGCTGGCATTAGTGGGTGTGAGCTTGTAGGAGATGTAGCTTTTGATGCCCTTGAATTTGGTCTGTTTGGTGGGGTCCTCCACGGAGCAGGAAAACGGGTGGGGGTTGGCCTTCCACTGGGGGCCACGAGGGCCCATTTCAATGGAGTATGTCTCAGCGATCTTGGCCATCATGGGCACATCGCCCAGGATGAAGGCCTCCACACCAGAGCGCACGAAGCAGGAGAAGCGGTTGAGGTTGCGCCCCACCACGCTGCCTCGCTTGGCAGATGCCAGGCTGTCCTGCCGCTCCAGCGGCGGCTTGGGCCGGAAGGCCATGTGTTGGCTGGGGTAGGCACCAGGGTAGGAGAGGTTGAGCGGAGGGTGCCCGTTGGTGCCCAGCCCACCAGCCCGTGGCTCCTCCACCACCGTGCATCCATCATCCCAGTCATCCCAGTCATCGTCATCATCCTCCTCGAAACTACCCTGGTTTGACAGGAAGCCACCACTCCTGGAAGTGTTGGAGCTGTCATACAAGCTCACCTGGGTGCCCAGAGAGCCTGCGGGGCTGCCGGAATAGTCGGCATGGTTGGAGCCAGTGTCAGAACGGAGGATCTCCACATAAGAGGCAGGGAAGAGCCCAGTCTCCCCACGGCTGTTCTGGCCCTGCAGCCAGCCATCCAGCGAGGTCTCGCTGAAGATGACCAGGTCCTCGTCCTGCCAGATGCTGATCTCCTCCTTGTTCTCGCTGCGGAAGTCATAGAGGGCTCGCCCTTTGAGTGCCATGTCTGGGCCGGTGGTAGAGAACGATGAGGAGAGAGTCCTGTCCAGAACTGAGGACACTTGTTAGGGTGTCTGAGGATGCACGAGCAGCTCAAGGCCGGCCACAGCCCTCAGTCTCTCAGTCCTTACTGCGGGGTCTGAGCACCCACAGAAGGTATCCAGCCTCCCTCTCTTCAAAGCAATGTCCACGGCCCAGAATCGGCCCTACCAGGTCTGCCGGCACATGCCTGTGAGCGGGGAGGGCTCATGTCCCTGGTCTTCCTCCCTTCCTTCCGCAGCCCCTGCAGGGGAGAGTCTCTCCTCCTCCCACTCCTAGAAGAAAAGTCAAGTGACTAGGAGAAAACCAGCCCTGAGCAGGCAAAATTGGACACTCTCCGCTGAAACAATGTTCTAAAATAGAAGAGAATCACTGGGAAACCACCGTCCCAGAAACTCCAGCAGCTCTGGCTCCCAGCTCCTTCTGGCTCCTCCAGCCTGGGCCTCTGGAGGCTCTCACATTCCTCTGCAGATCTCCTTCCTCCTTCCTCCTCCTCTTCCTGGGCCACTGGGTTTTCAAAAATCCAGAAAATCCAAGAGGGGCAAGGAGAAAAGCGGCAGCCTCCTGAGTCGAATCCAGGGGTGGATGTGTCCGGCTTCACAACAAGCCAGGCCGGGAAAACAAGGACTGAGGCTTACACAACAGGCCGGCCAACTCTGCGACCCGGCGGCCCGGCCCGGCCCGGCCCCCAGCCCCCAGCCGGCTCGGGTGCCCTCTCCCCGCCCCCAAGCGGCCAGCCCCCACCCGGGGGAAAGGAGGGGACGCGACGAGGCGCTCAGGCGACTCCTGGCCACTAGCTGAGTGGCCTCTTTTGTTTGCCTAATTCCTCAGCAGTTTCTGAGCCTGAAGATGACCCTGATTTGAGTCCAAGGACCCCCGTCCAAAGGTAATCCCCTTGGAAACCGGCCCCAGCGCGCCGGACGTAGACCCCTCACCCCTCGCGTGCACGCACACACTCAACAGGAGTTTGGAGAGTGAGCTCGGAAAGGTGATGGTGCGGCCGGCCGTCTGTCCAGCCGTCTGTCCGTCCGTCCTCTGCTCTGCCCTGCGGGATCCTGCCGGTGGGCGGCGGGCTGCGCCCCGAGCCCGCGTTCTTCTCTAGCGTTCTCGGCTCCTCGGCGCCGCCAGCGAGAAGCCAGATCCAAAACAACAGAAAAAAAGGCGATTCCGGGAGGTGGCGTCCCGAGGAAGGAGGGAATAGCCGGCGGAGGGACGGGGCGGGGGGGGGGGGGGTGAGGGGTGGGGAGAGGGAGGGAAAAGGAAAAGCAGGCTGGGGAATTGGACAAACTCCGCGGCACTTCCGTGCGTCCTGGCTGGCCAGGGACGGCCCGGCTCCGCCCTCCCGCTGGCCTGGGACGCAGCAGCCCGGCTCCCGCCTACTCCTCTCTTTTCTCTTGTGGCGGGCGCCTTCGCTCACTCGCGGGGAGATCGGGATGCGAGAGCAAGGAGACGATCGATCGCGGACGAGAGGCAGCCTCCGGGGCCAGCCCCTAGGGCAGCCGCACCCCCGCAGCCTGTCCGCGCTCGCAGGGAGACACCTCTCGCCCCGAGGGGCTCAAGCGCCGCGCGGGGGAGCTCTCCAGCCGCCGCCTCGCCTCCCGGGCTCCGTCACCCTCTTGCCTTTTCCGTGACGCAAGTGAGGAAAACTCTGAAAGTTTGCAACGTGCGAGGCTACAAGGAGAGCGCCAGAGCCAGGACGCGGGAGGAGGAGGAAGGGTGCGCGGAAACCCGCAGACTCCCGCTCCCGCTTCCCGCCCCGCCAGCGCTCCGGCGGGACGCGGCTGTGGCGCCGCCTGGGGATTGTTTTCTGGAGGGGGCCCCAGAGCCAGCGGTGCCCTCATGGAAAAAGCTTGAGCAGGCTGGGATACAGGCTGCTGCGGGTCCTTGTACCCTAGACGGACAGGGCCAGGAGAACCCCTGTCCTGGGCGACTCGCTTCAGAAAGAAAGACAAGACTCTGCACCTGTAGTGACGGGGAACTAGAGTAGGCACGATCAGGTTCCGTCGTGCTTTGGGCGGCTGGCGGAGACCAGCGTCTTGTCTTTGCTAGCACCAAGAAGAGGGGAATGGTCGGGTTGGGGCTCTGGGAGGAGGTAAAGGGGACTTGACCCTGGTCATTGAGTCTGCCAGACATTGTGCTGGGCACTGGGGATCACAGTACCACAAGGTAGTGGTGGTGCCTGTCCTGGAGAGTTTACAGTCTACCCTCTTGTCTTACAAGAAGAGCCCGCACATTGAAAGAGACCCTGATGCTGGGAAAGATTGAAGGCAGGAGAGGAAGGGGGTGGCATAGGATGAGATGGTTGGATGACATCACTGACTCCATGAACATGAGTTTGAGCAAACTACAGTAGATAGTGAAGGACAGGGAAGCATGGCATTCTGCAGTTCATGATGTACGGAAGAGTTGGACACGCCTGAGCGATCTAACAATAACAACTCTTGTCCTCTGTTCATTCATTGTCTTTGTCTCATTCATTTGATCCTGCACTCAAAGAAACATTAATTGAGCATTCTGTACCAGACCTCCTGGGCTACGAAGACGAATAAGGCGTTTTCCTCACCTACCGGGAAGTTCAGATGGATCAGGAAAATAAAGCCATGTTCCCTGCTCAGTGTGGTCAGTGCCATGAAATGTGATTGGAAGGTCACCTATCCCAACCTGGGTTGAGCAAAGATCAAGGAACGCTTCCCAGAGGAGGAGTGTCAACTAGGAATTGGCACTTGCCATCTACCTATCTAACTCTGTAAGGATTAAAGCATGTGCTGCTGCAGCACTGACCTTCAACATCCCTGAAGGAGTTCAGGGTGGAAAGCAGAAATGAGGTACTCTATGCTCAGGGAAAAAACAGGTCTTCAGAAAGATATTCTACTAAAACTAAAATCCTTAATGCTGATTAACAGAAGTTTCACAAGACTAGCAGAGACTTCCACAAAAAAGATTTGCTTGATTACAATGTATCCCCCTTTACCAAAATCACATATATACTGTCCTCCCCCCTGCCACCTCTGTGGAACAGTTTCTCAGAGCTATCTGAGGTGCTGTTTCCCAGGCTACAATTTGCATTTTGCCCCCAGATAAAACGTAACTTGCAACTCTCATGTTGTGCAATTTTTTTAAGTCGACAGGAGGTACCCAAGATGAACAAAGGCTTCAGCCCCTACTCCCCTTCCTGGCTATGCCGTGAGCCTTGTCTACCTCCTCTAACTAGAACCTCCTTCCCCCTCATGCTCATACTTCCCACTTGTAGATTAACTGGCACAAGGTGTTGCTGTAAACGTGGGCACCTTGGGCTGTTGTTTTAGTTTTTTTCTTTTGGGGGCTTAGCATGCAGCATCTTAGTTCCCCAACTAGGAATAGAACCCATGCCCCCTGCAGTAGAAGCACAGAGCCCTAACCCCTAAACTGCCAGGGAGTTCCCCACCTTGGGTTGTTTTGAAGGGTGTAATTTGCAGGTTTCTGGCTCCGAAAGCCAATTTCACTGGTTCAGTGAGTAGATCCAATGCCCCACGCAGAGCTGGCATTTGACCAGAATAAAGGTTTATGTGTAAACCCCAGAAGCCCAGGTATTACTTTGCAAAAAGAAATTCAACTGTCCAGGCACACCTGAATTTATGCATCAATAGATCAAGGCAATTTGAGCTGCTCCCTGGGAAGCCCAGTTACCAGAAGTTTGGTTCAGTGAAACTGAGTGCCCCAGGATAGGAGGAGCCAATGGTTCTCTCGGCCAAGAAACCTTGAAGTCTGGTCCCCTCAACCATAGGTGCAGCCTTGATTCTAAGGACTCAGTTCAGCCTAGGATCACCAGGACCAGAGCCTGAATATGTTTCCTACAGCTGCTTTTGGGACACTCCTTTTCTGTGATCTTTCTTCTGTTTGCAGAACCTCTCTCCAAACTTGATTTAACAGAAGCAGCTACTCCCTTAGTGCTTGTTGAGTGCTAGACTGTTGTAAATGTTCTACCTTTATTAACTCACTTAATAAAATTAATGGGATTTCTACTCACCCTACTAGTTGCTGTTCAGTCACTCAGTTGTGTCCAACTCTGTGACCCCATGGACTGCAGCATGCCAGGCTTCTCTGTCTTTCACTGTCTCCCAGCATTTGCTCAAACTCATGTCCATTGAATTGATGAAGCCACCCAACCATCTCATCCTCTGTCACTCCCTTCTCCTCCTGCCCTCAAGCTTTCCCAGCATCAGGGTCTTTTCCAATGAGTTGGTTCTTCGCATCAGGTGGCCAAAGCATTGGAGCTTCAGTATCAGTCCTTCCAGTGAATATTCAGGATTAATTTCCTATAGGATTGACTGGTTTCATCTCCTCGCTGTCCAAGGGACTCTCAAGAATCTTCTCCAACACCGCAGTTTGAAAGTATCAGTTCTTCGGTGCTCAGCCTAACCCCTAGTCTAACCCCACCCCTCAGAGGGACCCCCAGCCACCACCTTGATGGTATTTAGTTGGTTCCCAAACGCTTCAGTCACATATTTAATTTTATTTATTTATTTTGGTTGTGCTAGGTCTTTGTTGCTGCACGCAGGCTTTCTCTAGTTGCAGCTAGTGGGGCTACTCTCTGGTTGTGGTGCACAAGCTTCTAGAGTGGTTGCAGTGGCCTCTCTTGTGGAGTACCGGCTCTAGAGCACAGGCTTAATAGCTGTGGCACATGGGCTTAGTTGCTCCATGGCCTGTGGGATCTTCCCAGATTAGGGATCAAACCCATAACTCCTGCATTGGCAGGTGGATTCTTTACCACTGAGCCACCAGGGAAGCCCAAGTCACATATTTATACACATTTACACCTTGGATTTATTTCCGTATCTGTTGAGGGAGGTGGTGGTTTCTGTCTCACAGTAGCCACCCTATTTTCAGGTTCTTGAGGAAAACTCACTCTTAAGCTTCACCGAGATTTCCAGAACCTATATCTTCTATTCCCAACTCTCTTCAAACCTATGGGTAACAGGACCCACAG